AAAAAAAAGTATTTAAAAAAAAAAGATAGGATCGCCCAAGATTCGATCCCGGAACCTCCCACATTTAGCGAGAGACATAACCACTAGTCCACGGCATCGCTTTACACTGTGTGAAGTATATGCCGAACTGAAGTCACACACAAGTATATATTCATGTTTTCATGTTCGGTATTCGAAAATTTTACAAAATCCATGGTGTTTGATTTATTTAGCCTTTATTAAACAGTTCTAATAGATGTAATAAGAACATAAAGTCCGCCGAGAACCTGTTTTATACGCAATAACTCTCCTCATGCCCCTGCGCTAAAAATAGCGACATGTAATACTATAAATACTAATAAAAGAAACGGGGCGGGGCACTTTGAGAGGGGCGAGAGACGTCCTAGGGAGTTTTGGTATAAAATTACATTGCATAAGCTCAAAATCTTCTTGAAATATCGCCCAGAAATGATAGTGTAACACACAGACAGAATGTATAAATTTACGACCTTGAACTTTGACCTTTTGACCTCAAAATCAATAGGGGTCTTCCTTAGTCCACAGGGAGTTGTTATGTAAAATGTCATTGCAATAGCTCAAATGGTTCTAGAGATATCGTGTGGAAACGAAAGTGTTATAACAGACAGAATTTGCTTATTTATGACCTTGACCTTTGACCTTTTAACCTCAAAAGCAATAGGGGTCTTCCTTAGGCCACAGGGAGTTGCTATGCTAAATTTCATTGCAAAAGCTCAAAGGGTTCTCGAGATATCGTGTGGAAACGAAAGCGTTACAGACATACAGAAAGACGGACAGACGGACGGACGGACGGACAAACCCAAATCAATATCCCCCACTTTTCAAGCGGGGGACAAAAACACACCCTAAAAGTCACTGAGACACCCTTTATTAAAAGTCACCAAGACACTATTTTAAGTCACCAAGACACTACAGTCACTGAGACACACAATTAAGGAACTAGGTTCCTGAGCTGAGTGGTCTAACGAACAATTCTGTTGTTTCCCGAAACAGCCCAATAACCTAGCCCGAGAGGTGTTAAACAAGCGATGAGTAACCACCAAGTAAGCGTTTACATTATGGGTGTCTGTATTTATACTCTTTCTAATTCCTAATGATTGGTTGATGATTCTGAAACTCTGATTGGCTGTAATGTAAACGTTGATTGGTTAATTATAAAATGATATGATTGGACGACTTCAAAGGCATTTAAATCCACTATGATTATTCTATCATTACACTAGTGTGTTGGCTATGTTATATATCAAACGTTGTTGTGACTAAGACAAAGACGATGACTCAGCGTCTTTGGGTGACTATAAATACCGTCGAGCGCTGATGCTCTTGGATAGTCTACCAGTGGCAGTTGATCAGTATATATATACGGATCAGGATAAAAAGGGTAAGGAATTTATTGTGCTTCATTTGCAGGTCTCAATATACTGCAGAAATACCATTTGGGGTGCATTAAGTTCCAAACCTATTATACCAAAATTTAATAAAGAATGTTTGGAAACACTGCTCTGAGACATAAGGTCTGGGAGCTTTGGAAGATCAAATAATTGGTTTCAGACCTTAAATAGTTAAAGCACTGGGATAGCTTAGGAACATTGAAGAATCATTAGAGAATCATTGTTTGTATATATTTAGTAAATCTAATTCCAAGTAATTCTCGTTTAGTTTATTTTGACCAATTAATTATTGACATAGGTAACGTAAGGAAAATTATATATATTTCTTTCTCCATGACTGGAGAACCCACAGTATATATTACAATATTTGGTGGCAGCGGTAGGAAGATCTAAACAAAAGAGAAGCAAATTTTTGTGTTATTGTTTTAGCTCAACTTTCAAGAACAGGAGTGTACTTCATATGCGGGTCTAAAATTGCTCCAGACAAACCCTTTGAAGTACATATCCCGTACTTTATTAATTTGTGTTTAATATTGAAAGATTGTTTTAAGCTATAAGTTTCAAACGTGATTTGAAGTCTTCAGAGAGAAAACGTTTGGGTCAAAGTCATGGAGGATATGCTAGATACAGAGATAAACTATTTGGAAGAACAATTAAAAGAGCTCTCTAACGAAAGTATTCGACTTCATCAAAAGGAACAACTAAAAATATCTACTCCAATAACTGTAAGAGATTCTGGAATTGGTGCTTCAAAACAGAAGGAATTCAAGCATGAAGAAGACTAAGGACGTGCCAGACCCAAAGTAAAGTTTAATGTTGGTGTAGAAAATGCTTTCAGGCCCTCTTCTGCCTCAGATGAAAGAAAAGACGATAGTTCACCGAAATCTGGTATATATCTTGAAACACTACTCAGGGATGCAGGTAATTTTAGATTGCGGAGAAACCAGGACGGACGATTTCAGAGGCATGGTTTTAATAAAAGAAGGATCAGGAAACAGGGCTAATAAACTAAGCAGCTTAAAACCTGCTTCATATGACGGAACAACGTCATGGATGGACTACAGGTCCGATTTTAATGCCTGTGCATCATTAAACAAGTGGTAGGAGGAAGAGAAGGGAATGTATTTGGCAGTATCCCTACGAGGACAAGCCCAAGGTGTGCTTGGATATCTTTCAGATAGATTACAGATGAACTTCCAAGAATTGTCAAGATCTCTGGAGGTGCGTTTTTCTCCTGTAAATCAAACGGAACTCTACAGAGCTAAACTAAAAGAGAGGCGTCAAAAAGCAACAGAAACTATACCCCAGCTTGGACAAGACATCAGACGCCTAACACGTCTTGCGTATCCGACGGCCTCAGAAGACTTGTGTGAAACACTAGCCAAAGAGTATTTCATATATGATCTGACAGGTTTGACATGCGTCTTAGAATAAAACAATCAAGACCAGGACATCTGAATGATGCTATAAGGCACGCTGTGGAACTAGATGCTTTCATGGGTGCAGGGCGCAACAAGCACAGTGATGCTTTTGCTCGAGAAATAGGCAGTGGAAAAGCGCCAGTTGAAACCAAATCGTATACTCTGGAAGAAGTGATGAAATCTATGAAAGATATGCTTCTGAGTCTTCAAAGAGATGTTGACAAAATAAAGCATGGGCAGAAAAAGTTCCCAAACAAAAATTTCCCTCGTATTCCTCGCGAAAGTCCAACCAGGAGTCAAGTAATACAACTAGTAAAAAGTGCTTTGATAGTGGAAAACCTGGGCACTTCAAGAGAAACTGTAGGCTGCAGAATGCAGAGAAAAGGAAAGATAGTTTCGAAAGTTTTGTTCTAGGCCAGCTGGAGGGCAAAAGAAAAAGGGTTACACTAAAGAAGACACTGCAAAACAATTAGCATCAGAAAACAGGAGACCAATCATGAAAGGTTGTATTGGAGAAAAGTTAACGAACCTGGCATGTACGTCTTGGGGACTGCTAATGATGTTCCGATTACAACATTAGTAGATACAGGAGCAACAGTAACTCTTCTATCACAAAAGGTATTTGAAGTCATAAGCCGTGAAAGGAAGATAGAGTTGGCTGAAACAGACTTAAATATTTTGTCAGATACAGGTACTCTTTTGAGTATTTTGGGAAAGGCACTTATAAAGTTCAAATTTGAAAAGAAAATCATCTACCAAACATCTTTAATTGGCGACATTAATGTAGATGCGATTTTAGGTCTTGACTGTTTGCAGAATAACAAAGGTGTAATCAATCTACAAGATAAGACACTTATGCTGGGAGATGAAACTCATTGTTTGAAATTTGAAGGTAGAATAGGTTGTTTCAGAATTGTTACATCAGAAACGTTGTCACTTCCTTCAAAGAGTGAAATAGTCACCACTGGGAAGGTCATTGTTCCAGAAAACCAAGAATTTGGTGTAGTAGAACCCTCCTGTTCATATATAAATTCTGATAGGGGTTTGGTTGGCTTACCTCATTTTGGCGCCGACCATTTGAGGTTCTTGAGCAATGGTCCGATGATTTTTATGCCGTTGCATGTGGTAGAAAGGGTGAAAAGCAAATCATTCATTGTGATAGGATGCGCAGAAAGAAGGAAGAAGTTTTTAATGACTTCTGTTGGATGACAAGTACATTTAGGACGATTGTGCAGAATGTTTTGTGTGTGTGGGAATGTCAAGAGATATTGCATTACCTTTACAGTAATTATTTTAAGTATGAATGTATAAAAAAATATATATTGTTTCATTCTATTGATATGCGAGACGCATATGTTTCGGAGTCGTGGGTTATGTAGTAGAAATTTCCCTGATCAAATTAATAATATGCAAATTATTTATCAATCAGATGCTTCCTAGTGTGTTGGCTATGTTATATATCAAACGTTGTTGTTGTGACTAAGACAAAGACGATGACTCAGCGTCTTTGGGTGACTATAAAGTACCGTCGAGCGCTGATGCTCTTGGATAGTCTACCAGTGGCAGTTGATCAGTACGGATCAGGATAAAAGGGTAGGGAATTTATTGTGCTTCATTTGCGGGTCTCAATATACTGTAGACATACCATTTGGTGTACATTAAGTTCCAAACCTATTATAGCAAAAGTTTAGTAGAGAGTATTTGGAAACACTGCTCTGAGACATACGGTCTGGAGCTTTGGAAGTTCAAATAACTGGTTTCAAACCTTAAATAATTAAAGCACTGGGATAGCTCAGGAACATTGAAGAATCATTAGAAAATCATTCTTTGTACATATTTAGTAAATCTTATTCCAAGTAATTCTCGTTTAGTTTTTTTTGACCAATCAATGATTGGCGAAGGAAACGTAATTAAGGAAAATTATATATATATATATATATATATATATATATATATATATATATATATATATATATATATATATATATCTTTCTCCATGACTGGAGAACCCACAGTACATATTACACAGTTATTAGTTTTATTAGATGATCGTTACCAATACACGTTGAAATGAAATTATTATTTATAGAGTACAATTTACAACAATTCTTAAACATAACTGCCCTAAGTGAATATATATGGTAAACACAACATGCACAAAAAATCCAAGATATATGACAGGTCATATAATTTCACAGATAAAACCTTTTTCAAGATTACAGCAGCTGTCGAACCATTTTCCATTATTCTGAATGGTAATACAATTAACCCGCCAAGCGTTGCAGTCGGGATCGTTGTTATCGGGTTGTAAATATCCCCAGTTCTTATAGCTGTCTCTCCTCAATTCACTTCCGTCATTCCAATAATAAAGATCCCCATGATCATGGTACCCTGTCCAGAGATGTGAGTCAACTACAACTATATATGCTTTCATGTAAGATGGGAATACAAAGTATGTTTGTAATTTCCCAGAAATCGGTTTTGTGCATTTATTTTGTTAGGCGCCTAAGAGTAATACTAGTATACATGTTTTTTTAAAGATAGGGCGCTCTACAAGTGTTTTATTTATTAGAACATGATTAGAGTTTCTCAGGTAAAATGCAGTTTCTATATTTCTGCTATACTACGATTATTTATGAAATTATCAATCATAAATATATTTCTCACATATTTACCATTAATTAAAGCTTCAGTAATTAAGTCATTCTTCTCTCTGGTATCAAGCTTTATCAGTCGAGCACCGTCTTGCTTGCAGTATTCGCTAGCATCCCGCCACCGTAGCAGAGGAGTTGTCAGAATTCTGAAACAAGTCTTCGTCATCTCATCAAAGGTGTATTGTTTGTGCCTACAACCTTGAAAAGAGATAAATATATATACACGTATTATTTTTTAGCAGTTAAATGAAAAAAAAATAAGGCAATATAGGATAACGAACAGTTAGCGATCTAAAAAAAAAACAGTTACCAAAAACAATTTTTAACAGGACATAAAAAACAAAAGATAGATTCTTATGATAAGATAAGGTGCTTTGGAGGAATAAACTTCTCTTCTTAATAAATGTGTTTTTTAAATTGTCAATTCAATAATTAAAAAAAATATTTGCTTCCTGTAAATTTTTGTCTTGTAATATAAGCAGTTAAGCAAAACATCATTGGACAGAGGGGCCAGTTAAAGGTAAAGATTTAGACACCATTTATCCACATAAAAATATTACATATAACACCAAAGATTTATTTTGTTTCTGTTCTAAAAATAAAAGGGATTTATAATCCACATCTTACGTACATGTAAATAAATTAAAGTTAAGGAAGATTTTTATGCTCACAGAAAACAAGTAAAGAAAGTAAATATCTTTTAGATACCTAGTTTGACACAGACAGGTGATGAATTCAGCTCCACACACATTTCTTCTCTTGAACATTTATTATAAGAGCATGATCCCATTAATTCCTAAAATAAAAGTATATGCAAAATAAAGGTACATGTAAATATCGGTAAATGTTGGATATCAGGTAATGAGACAGGTAAATGTGAAAAAAAGTTGAATAAACAACTTTGAGCAAAAGAACCACGAAGGCTGGCTTTTTATTATTACGTCATCTTTTAAAATTAAATTATAAGAACAATGTTTTTGTGCAATAATACCAATAGCAAAGACCTAATAGAGTGGGGAAAAAAGATAAACGGACAGACAGGACAAAACAATATACCCCCGGGATCTTTAGATTCTTGAGCATTAAATTAACATCGAGTACAGAATGAATAGATTTATCCTGGTCACCACAGTTATTCAAAAAAGTTGAAATCAAACACAAATGGGAGCAATGCATTTCGCAATACATTAATTTTTCCTGTATTTTAAATACAAATTGTTAAACCCGTACTTTCTAAAGAAAATTCGGGTATATTGTTGTTGCTCATGTCCGTCCATCCGTCCGTCTGTCTGTCCGTCTGTCACACTTTTCTTCCCTGAACATGCTGTCATGTAGATGTACAGTAAGGTTTCGGAATTTTCATTTTGCCCCGAGGGGTCAAATGAGGCTTGAAAAAGGACGTCTTTTTATGCAAAAAGCCCCTTGTTCCCTGATCTCCTCCTACATTTTACACAGTGGCCGCATAATTTTTTGCGAAATTAATTTTCTTTTTTTTAAAAATCATATAAAATATCAATGTCAAGGGGTAATAAATGTCATAACATGTTGCGAAACATCTTGTTTTATTGGGTAATGTACACGTCAAATGTGAAAGTCATATCTCTTCTCAATCAAAAGTTATAAGGAAATACAAAATTTTTGAAAAGTAAGTTAAACTTCAAGGTCACGGAGTCAAAATTCATGATACATTTGGGAAGGTCTTATCACAGGTAATATAAATGCATGTATCATATGAATGTCCCATCTTTTCTCTTTCAAAATGATCAATTTAAAACAATTTAATTTTTTTTTTAAAGTAGGTCAAATTTCAAGGTCATGGAAAAAAATATAGTGTATTTAGGCATTGTCAAAGGTAAATACTAATACACATTTCATATGAAATTCCTGGAACAATTTCTAAAACGAGGTAAATTAACAAGCAAGTTGATGAAACAAGAATATCAGCAAACTCGTTTAAAGTCATCATTTCGTAAGTTCTATGGTTGATACAATGACCTTGTCAGCAAATACAATTTATCATTGAGTTAAATGCTGACTGACGTTTTTCATACTAATTGTTAGTCCATTATTTATACACTGAAAGACAACGGATTTTCCCGTTATTTCCTGATCATGACAAGGAGCACACGGTGGGTGTGACCGGTCAGCAGGGGATGCTCAATCCTCCATGGCATCTGATTCTACCTCTGATGTTTTGGAAGTCCGTGCTTGCTCTGCTCCTATTTTGTATTGTTTTATGGACTTTGAGCCTGAATACTGTTCCTTATCTCCATATATCTTTCTTTGTCGACATACGCGGATAGGAATGGAAATAACCATTGTTCATTGACAATACGTCGTCGATATATGTTAATGTCGAATTTAATGCCGCAGCAAGTGTTTTTTCACGTGTAAGATTTTGGACAATTTCCGCCTCATATAAATACAAAAAAGGTCTGCTAATGACGGGTCGCAATTGGCACCCATGGGAATTCCAATAGATTGTTGGAAGACCTGGTCTCCAAAAACAACAAAAATATTGTCAATCAGAAACTCAAGCATCTTTTTTTAATATCAACTTCAAAGTACTTTTGTGTACAATCAGACTGTGTTTTAACAAAATACATGTAATTTTGCAAATGAGTGAAATAACCAATGATAAGGTAAGTATATTTTCAAGTTCCATTGTAATGATAAAGCAGCTGTCATTGATATTAAAAAAAAACCTGGACTTGACTTTATCGTGAGTAATGGTTATTCATAAAGTTAAAAAGTAATTAAGTTTTTGATTTTGGTAAAATCTTGTGATTTCAAATTTACCAAAAGTTCCTTGGAATGTTTAATAACTAGATCTTGTTTACACCACTTCTCGAATGTATTGTTGCACATTACAGTGCAAGGGAAGTTGAGGTTTGTGAATGTGAAATCATCATAAGATTTAATTAATCTTTACAGTACCTTTTTATCATTAATTAAGGATATTTGTAAAAACAAAAAAAAAAAAGAGAGAGAGAGAGAGAGAGGAAAAACTTGTACGCTCAAATTTCTTTTTCCTAAAAAAAAAACCCTCTGAAATAAATCATTGTATGAAATCATGGTTTCCAAAACGTCAAGCAAAATTTTCTAACTTTACTCTGGGGAGGTGTATTTTGAATAAAATACCTTTGTTCTGGCTATATCATTGATGAATACAAATGATGTATCCGTTTCAAAAGCAGAAATATCGACCTGGAAATTGTAAAGGTAGCAGGTGAACTTCTCTTTGTCGTAGTTCACAGACAGACAGATAGTTATCAAGGAACACTCTCGGCAACACTGCATTAGACCAATTTTGTCTATTTTGTCATAGAAGTCCGTCCCTGGATGTCTCCTTTCTTCGTATATTATTCCGGGAACTGGACATGAACTTATATCTCCAAGGCTTGCATTTAATTGTAGAAGCGTGAACAAAGATAAAATAGAAAAATTTTTCATCTTCACATGTTTGACTGTTCAAAGAGATGTGACGACAGACTGAAACTTTAAACAATAAATAAGGCCCTTAAATCGTTGCAATATTTGACGATGCAAAATGATCAAAGTAACTTTTTCATATACTTTTAAAACAGTCTGCCGGTATGGAATATTTCTCAGACCAATTATTGTTGATGATTGATAGGTACTTGATTTTTCGTTTAAAGGGATATTTTTTTTTATTGCAATTAGTTCCACTGGTAACCAAAAATTGTAGGATAATACTACAATATCTCGGGGTATTATTATCATGCACACATTAAACACAAACGAGCAAATTAAAAGGAACAATATATTATTATATAAAAGGAGAACTTTTGTCGCTAAACATCTAAGTATAACTTTGAAAATTTGTGTTTATTTTTGTATCGTTGTGTATAGAGGGAAAACACTATAATTATATGTATTGATGTCTTGATGGGGTTTTAACAACAAAACATTACATATGCACAACAGTATATATGTAGGACGCAAAAGTGCGATGGGACTCCAAAGTCCGATGGTCACGCCAAAGCTCGATGGTCTGCGCCAAACCCCGATGGTTTGACACGCCAATTAACGTTATGACGTCATAGTACTACTGCGCAAAAATGCGATGCCGTGCCATGCCAAGATCTGATTGTTTAAATAAATGCAAATAAATATTCCATGCAAAGATTCACCCTAATCTTTTAGATAGGTACGAGACTAAAATTTATCAGTCGAAAATGTGTAAAATCTATATAGGCTAGATATCTTGGATGGGTGCAGGACTAACCCAAATCATTCCATTAATGTGCCAGTAATAACCATAGAATCACTCAGGTGAGTTCGAGGAAACACAATCATTGGTGTTCAAGAACTAACCCTTATCAGTCGAATGGTGTAGAAGGACTAACCCTAATAGCTCTGGTGGGCGAAAACAATAAGCAAAATCAGTATAATTGTATGCGAGACAAATACTAAATCAATGGAATTTGAATGCAGGACAATATCATGATGTCAGACAAGTGTGGCTTCATAAACGTTGATTGTTACTTCGCACCATCGGACTTTGGCTTATCGGACCACCGCACTTTAACGCAACGTGTCTCATAGGAAACGAGCCATCAGACTTTAGCGTCCGTAAAGACACCGAGCCATCGGGGTTTGGCGCAGACCATTGGAATTTGGCAACACAATCGCACTTTAGAGTCTTACATATTTATTTATATAGATATCTTCTATCAGAAAAACGTGTTCTCTTTTAAGAGTTTAACACAGTCTAAAAGTTTTTAAAAGGGTGTGTCTTTGGAACGCTAGACTTTAAGACACCTTTCTGAATTTTGAATATTTTGATAATATACTAAAATTGTTACATTTTTGCGTCTCGTGTTTAGTTACGATCGCATACATCAAGATATTCTTTTGAATAATCAGCGGAAAAATAGCTATTAAATTTTAAGACATAATTTTCTAATTCAAATCATTTACCTTTATAAAAAAAATGTCTCAAATTTTCCGAGGTATGATATATGAAATAGATGGAGCAACCGAACAGTACTCAAGCTCAGAAGTCAACAAAACAATACAAAATTGGGGCAGAGCAAACATGGACCTCCATGGAGGAGTGAGTATTCCCTGCCGGTCACACCTGCCGTGTGCTCTTGTTATGATTGGGAAATAACTGAAAAATCCGTTTTTGAAAAGTACGCAATTCAGCGTGTAAATAATGGATTAACAATTTGTATGAAAAACATGAATGTATTTTATTCATTTGATTTTCACTTTTTTTTGTCATTAAACTTTTACAAAATTTTATATTTTTGAAAAAAAAATAATTTTGCTGTCATAGAACCACGCTCTCTCTCAAGGATGAAAGACACACTCTTTGGATGGATGAAAATATTCAATATCAACTTATGACCACTTATGTAAATAAAGTTTTTGAAATGTACTTAAGGAATGTTCTTAAGTTATGTGTGAGTTATTGGTGTGTGAATAACACAGACTTGCACGTAAGCATATTTTTCTGTGTGAATCACACACCAATAATTCACACTAAACTTAACAACATTCCTTATATTTACGTTTTCCATGTCTTAAAGCATAAAAAATATACTCAATACTAGTATTTGAATTTCTCATTGTGACATCATGTTAGCGCACGTTTCTTCGTGTATATTTCTACGCGTGAGTATACACGAAAATTGTATTCAATTCAATTTCAATGTTGGATTACTAGAAAAACACAGCAGATGTAAATACTGTTGTATGTCTTTAAGTATATCTTTTTGTTATTGTGTTGATATAGGCTTGAATGTACAATGTGAACATGTCGGAAATGACAAATGAAATTTACATATTCTAAAATACCTTTTATGAATTTATTTATTTTTTTACTTAAAAAGAAAGTGGACCATTTTTGAGACATGGATTTATGTTAACACATGAACATAAAACTTTTCATTTGTTTTGTTGATTTGGAAGAAATTTTTTCCACCTTGTAATATGTTTTATAAGCACCTTTATGAAAAAGAGTCAGATATTCAAATATTTGTTCAATGTTTGTTTATATCAACGATTCAGCGATAAAAGCAATTGTATAAAGAATTTGTATAAGAATAAAAGACAATTGTCGTACAATCAATTGCAATACGATTCTGAATGAAATATGTGGAGATAATGAACTATATTCGAGCTTGAAAGTCCATTTAACATCACAAAATAGAAGCAGAGCAAACAAAGATCTCCAAAACATCATAGGTGGGTCAGGTGCCATGGAGGAATGAGCGTATCCTGCCAAAGGGTCACACGTGTGTGCTTCGTGTCATACCTCTGTTCCTTTCTCTTAGCACGTGTTTTACATTCCGATTCACAATACAGAGAAGTAAGACAAAATCAATTAGAAGTTCACAATATTTTGGTATCTTCAGTTTTTTTAAAATTATATTCTCCTCAGTCATCTGCAGAAATGCTAGCATTTAACATCTGAATCATAGAAAGGTAAATTAGAAAGTTCCTAGACTGCTGTCGTAACTGTTTTTTCGAATGTATAACTCATATCGTATCTAAATTTGGTAAAAAATTTACAAATACCCCGGTAATTCAAATCACCTGAAATTTTGAAAATATTATAAGATGTTTTTAAAAAAGGTTTTCATCGTTTCATGTTCCAAATAATGACTTAAATTTATATGTTGCTTTGTTAAAAAGATATAAAAACAAAAAATAATACTAACACACCGAAAACGGCACAACAACATGTTATTACTACGTACTCATTTTTGTTATGTATATCGGGAAAACCCAAGATTAAACACTGAAAAAGCGCCAGAGGAAGCAGGAAATTTCCAAAAAAAGCGTGTCGTACACATACATGTGTGTAAAGGGCAGTGTTCGTCTGAGATTCTGTATTAGACGAGACCATTCTATCGATAATCTATAAAACTGATCAAAATCTTAAATGAGTAACTTCCGGGAAAGAGATAAAGGCCATTCACAGTTGCACATCTTACATCAGTATATCCATGCATTAGAATACACTAACATTGACAACTAAAATAATGCTGCTAGAATTAAAGAAAGCAAAATAAATTTTAAGTGATAAATAACCGTTTTTAATGATTGGATAGAAGGAGTATTCTTAAGAAAGTCATGAAGCTATGATTTTGATATTACATTTTGGTCAAGTGTGTTCCAGGTTTAAAAAAAATCTCATTTTAAAGTAAAGTAACATGATATGAAAGGAACTTCATAATTCAACAATACAAGATATAGCGATAACGAACCGTATCTAAAAAAACAGAACAAAACAACATAAGAGCAGAAAAAACACGAACCTCCAAAACATAAGAGGTGGGATCAGGTGTCATGGAGGAGTGGGCATCCCCCTGCTGACGGGTTACAAAGTAGGCTTTGAATAAACTCTTATTCAAGAAATATCAAAACTGTTCTGCTAATAAAGGTGCACAATTTATGCCCTTTAATTAACCAACAGTTTATAAAAAGATATGGTCTTCATGGAACATATGAAGAGATTCAACGTTGAACTCACGCACCTGTATTTTTTCAAATTCAGAAAATGTGATGAAAAAGTGTGATTGTAATGGCATCTTTGAATTCAAGGTAAAATAAAAAGATCGTAAGTTCCTGTATTTAAGAATTTTAAGGTGGATTACTTCTTTCACTTCATTTTCAACATAATTAACATTATCGATAATAATGTTCCCAGTGTGGCTACAGTTGAGAGAAGAAGACCTCTCATTATGGCTTTGTTTTAGATACTTAACCTATTGATAGTGTGGGGTTTGTACATAGATTAAAACTGAAAAGTTTCAAAGAAAAATTTGAAGATAATTTTTCTGTTTTATATTTAAGTTGGGAAAAGTTTTATTAAGGTGAATCAGCTTTGATGAATTTGATTTTTTTTTTCATCTAAATTGAAATATTTAAATAAGTGTTGTAGATTGTATCCTATATAGCACAACATTTGTGAATGTATAAAAGTAAAGTAGTCAGACACTTATTATTCTGCAACGACTTTATATATATGTTAAATTGCGTATTAAGAGATTGAGGGGCAATAGGAAATTCTTCTATCCTTCTATATCCAATAATCCAGAAGTGAAAAAAGAATTAGATAGATTACATGATCAGTACGTACTGGCCCTGCTGACAAAGCAGATAACAGCATTGTCTTCGTTTGTAAGGCTCATTATATAAATTGCATTTTCGAAGAACTTGGATTTAATTCTACAAGTGGTATTCCAACTTATACTCATAGTTCCCTTTCTAAGGAAGAAATTCTTCAAAATCATATCATAAACTTCATAAAAATCCTTACAAAGATACATTGCGGGTTCCAGTAAATTTTCAACCAAGTCTCTCTCGTTATTCCTCACTGAGATATTGACAGTGGTGAAGGGAAAACTTCAAAAGTACTGTACAAAAACATATTCTAGAAGTGGTGTGAATCAGATGTGGATACTCAAAAATTCCGAAGATCTTTTGGACGATTTGAAATCACAAGATTTAGCTTAAAACTTAGGACTTTTTAATTTTACACACAACCATTCCCCACGATAAATTAAAGTCCAGGCTTTTCGATGTCATTAACAGCTGCTTTATAAAAATGGAACTCGTAAATTTACTTAGCTGATCATCGGTCATTTGCAAATTGTTTTGATAAAACACATTTTGATTGCACACACAAGAAATCTGAAGTTGACATCAAAAAGATGCTTAAGTTTCTGATTGACAGTATGTATGTGGTTTTTGGAGACCAGATCTTCCAACAATCTATTGGAATTCACATGGATACCAATTGTGCCTCGTTATTAGCAGACCTATTTTTGTATTCATATGACAGAATTTGTGCAAAATCCTATACGTGAAAAGAAGAAAACACTTGCTGTGACCTTCAACTCGACATTTAGATATATCGACGACGTATTGTCAATTAACAATGGTAATTTCCATTCTTGTGTCGATACGATATATGCTGGGAAGCTTGAAATAAAAGATACCATAGAGTCTGACTTGGATATTTTACTTGAAAGAAACGTTAATGGTAATCTAACAACCAAGATCTATGATAAACGTGATGACTTTTCTATCGTCGACTTCCCTTACTTATGCAGCAACATACCTTTATCACCTGCATACGGAGTTTATATATCTCAGTTGATACGATACGCAAGAGTATGCTCTATGTATGAACAATTTCTAAAGCGAGGTAAATAATTGACAAACAAGTTGATGAAACAAGAGTATCAGCAGTCTCGTTTAAAGTCACCATTCGTAAGTTCCATAGTCGATACAATGATTTTGTCAACAAGTACATGTGTACAATATATCATTGAGTCAAATGCTGATTGACGTTTTTCATACTATTTGTTAGTCCATTATTTATACACTGAATTTACGACGCATTTTCCCGTTATTTCAAGATCATGACAAGGAGCACACGGTGGGTGTGACCGGTTGGCAGGCAAGAGAAGCTCTCTCTTCCATGACACCTGATCCCACCTCTGATATTTCGGGGGTCTGTGTTTGCTCCGCTCCTATTTTGTACATGTATTGATTTATGGACTTTGATATTGAATACTGTTCGTTATCCCCATATCTTTCATCTAATAGGGATAAATGCACAATGTCATGTACCCTGGACTTTGACTGCAAGGAATGTCTTCATTTTTGTTTTCCTGCAAAAATTGACTTTTGTCTTTCAATTTATATATTTAATTATCATTATAAAATGATTCCCCCACAGCTATCGATTGTTCCAATCATCAGTAGACTTCCCGGAGACAGAGTAAGGTCTCCTAGTGATAATTAAAGGGAGAAATCCTGAACAGCTGATGCAAACATTAAAATCCATTCTTCAAAAATCTTCAAAGATCGAGTTGTGTTTACTTAATTGTGTATAGTTTGTAGAATGTATTCAAATGATTTCACAGATAAATCCATGAGGGGTTTCACAGCAGTCATCACCCCATCTGCCATCTGTTCGAGTGATGGCGCAGTCCGCGTCGGACGAATTCGTCACACATTTGTTGTAGTAATCGTTGGGTTGACCAGTGTTCCAGTTGGAATATACCAGAGGATGTCCAGTGATCCACTTAAAGGTCCCTTCTGTCTCACGGTCACTTAGGCCAATCCAAAATCGTGTCACGCTGGATCCACGGCCAGCTACAACAAAAATACCCGTATAACATAGTATCCTCAAGCCGCATGTTTATTTTTTTGTCTGACTTCTGAAGGTTTATTACTGATTAACTTAAGTTTTAATGGTATGTAGTTTTTTTATCCAGTGTGAATATAATTCATATTCAGTATATGCATGAACAGTTGTCAAAAATAGGTTGTTTTTTCTAGTATCTAAGATATATTTTTTTAATCGTCTATTCAAGAATTAAAAACTTTAAATTATATCTAGTATATCATGTATATATATATATTTTAAAATGTTGCATGAGTAAAACGTGTTGTCTATAAACAATACAGTAGGCTATTGTACTTAATCTTGAAAAAAACATGTAAAATATTTTGTTATCCTTACAGTTTATTAGTTGTGTGACCAGACTGGTTTTGTTTTCTGTATCTATGGACACTAGTTTGTTATTCTTACAGTTTATTAGCTGTGTGACCAGACTAGTTTTGTTTTCTGTATCTATGGATACTAGTTTGTTATTCTTACAGTTTATTAGCTGTGTGACCAGACTAGTTTTGTTTTCTGTATCTATGGACACTTGTTTGTTATTCTTACAGTTTATTAGCTGTGTGACCAGACTAGTTTTGTTTTCTGTATCTATGGACACTAAATGTCCACCGTCACGTCGACAGAATCCCTCCGCGACCGTCCAGTTTAACACAGGGGCGCTAACGATCCTCAGACAAGACTGGGTCTCCTCATAAAATGTATACATACCATGTCGACATACTGAAAGACAATTAGATTTTTTTTCATTTTCTTTTTCTTTTCATTTTTTAAAATAGTTTTCTTGCCTTCCTTTATTCATTTTAGCGCAATAAAATAAAACGTCGATAGTAGTATAAACCGTCTAGATAGAGCGGAAGTGACGTCATAACCGGAAGTGGTTGAACCGGAAGCGGAAGTGGGCTAATCGGAAGTGGACGGAAGTGGGCTAGCGGAAGCGGAAGTGGCCGGAAGTGGTCTAGCGGAAGTGGGCCCTAGCGGAAGCGGAAGTGGGCTAGCCAGAAATGTCCTAGCCGGAAGCAGGCTGGATGACCGGGTCAACTGAGTGCATCCCCTGGGGGATAGCCGGATCAACTCAGTACAGTCCCCCTGGGGGGGATAGCTGGGTCAGGAGAGTGTGGATTTGGGGGGGATAGGTGGGTTAATTCATTAAATATAGTCCCCCTTAAATACTGGGTGTTTACACTGTGTTTACATTATACACTATACGTTGGTACTACGTTTTGTTTATGCTAAACTATACAGGTATAATACTTTGGGGCCGTGTGCAAAAAACATTACAAGAATGTGATTATGACGTCACGCATTCATTCACAGTCTAGCTTCATTTTTTGAAAACCTCATTACCAAGAAACAAAAGTGAAACTAACCCTAATTTCCCTTAACCCTATCCCCTAACCCTAACTATCCCTAATTTCCCCTTAGGCCTCTATCCCTAACCCCTTTTAACCCTAACCTATCCTATCCCTTAAATACTGGGGGGCCCGCTTACACTGTGTTTACACTGTATATAGTTTTTTTTTACTATACGCTGCTACTACGATTCACAACGTTGGTACTACGTTTTGTTTATGTTAACTATACAGGTATAATACTTTGGGGCCGTGTGCAAAACATTTCAAGAATGTCATTATGACGTCACACTTTTCATTCACAGTCTAGACAGTCTAGCCTAAACCGGTTCAAACTGGTTTTTTACTGAAAAAGACAAATAACAAAAACCTGGATTTTTTACTGAAAAACAAAAAATACTAACACAGATTTTGATTTTTTCAATTTTTATTCACAATGAAAAAATACAAAAATAATTTTAATTTCCACTGTATCGGCATAAGGGACATTTCTGGTAAGAAGTCTCAAAGAGTTTCTTCACACATTCCTCACAGCAGGGATATTGGTGACATTGTCCGCATTTCCATTTTCCTTGAGTCTTTTCCTGGTAACATATCATACATTCTTTCAACGGTCTGTTCCTGGTTATTTTCATCCATCGGGGAGGCGGAATGTTCTCAATTCCCT